CCTAGCCAAATGGAGTTTTTTTTTTATTTTATTTGTATTTTTTCAAGAGCAATATAAAGTTCTCATCAACAAACCTGTTGCTGACATAAGAGAGGGGGAAAAAATAGACAATCTGAGTGAAGAACAAGAACTGCTTGCAGGGAAAAAAACTATTTCATGGAGCAGATTTTGTCCCGAAAGCGGCTGCAGTCTGTCTGGATGCCGCTAAAATTTTTTCCTATGCTTTGTTTTGTGTCGCTAAATAAATGCTTTTGGGTGCCAATCACAGAGTACGGCCTAAGAAAAGAAGCAAATGCAGAATCCCAGTTGCTATTTCAATAGCATTAAGGGTTTATTGCAGTCCTTGAAAAAGAAGCCCTGCTCTATTCACAATTTCTTTTAAAAAGAAGAAAAGAAAATTTTCGAGCGTCATGACATCCCTAGGGTGCTGGAGACACCATTTTTATTTTCTTCTGAAAATACAGAAACTAAGCAGATATAGATGGATATTTTTGTTGAACAAATTCCATTTTTAGGCACAAAGATAGTACAGAAACATTGGAGGAACACTGAGGGAAGAACTATAACGATGCCAATGTATATATATATTTTTTCCAACATAGAGAAAAAAAGTGGCATAGAATATCATTTTATTTTGTATCTGATCTGATTAGTGCATTTTTCCACTAATACACACACACGCACACACACACACACACTCACGTAGTTACACACTCTTGTACGCACTCGTTCACCCGCACGAAAAAGTAGAAAACATTCAGAGGACGATGATAGGAATAATGTGACTGATCAGGTCTTGCATTGTGGTGGTTCAGACTGAGCCGTGACTGGGTATATTATAGTGGGTGGATATTATATGAGGGTGAAAAAGCCCCTCAGCTCACAGTGTTTGAGAATAAAATGGCAAGACACCATGGGACATGCCATCCCTTCTTCTTCTTTTTTTTTTTCAAATACAAAAAACAAAACAAAAAATACGCCGACAGTCAAGTTTGATTGAAAAATTGTGAATGACAAGTACTAATTGGTCGGTTTGGCAGCGTCCTCCTGCCGTCCCGTGTTTTTATCATCTTTTTTTTTTAACCTTTTTTTTTTGTCACATACACACACTCGTAAAATTTGTGGCGGCTAGATTTAGTCCTTCACCTACAATGCAATTGACATCCAGAAAGCGACACTTATTATTACAATATGTTCACACACGTGTTTTTTTGTCCAACAATATCAAAGAGGAGCAAGGCAAAAATGATTCACACCCAGAGAGAGAAAAAAAAAACAGGTAAAAAAAAAAAAAAGAAATACAAATATTTGTGCCCTGCTGTAACCCTCCACAAATGGAAAAAGGACTGACACTGAATACAAAAATATCACAATTTTTATATATCAAATTGCCTCTGTTGGCTCTTGTTCAGGAATACGCTCATCTCTCAAGAGAGCTTGTCAGCCGAGAGAATCTCTATTTTTAACCTTCTGGTTTTTCTTTTTTTTTTGATTACCACTTGCAGTTCCAATTGTCCAACGCACTCTGCATCACTGCAAATATGACCTGTCCTGGGCGGTTCAGTGTTTTTGATGAACCTTCTTTTTTTTTTTTTTTCACATTACAAAACTACACTTCTATTCACATATTTTCAAGTTTAAATTCTTGTTTTTAAACCTTCTTAAAAAGCAATAGTTCTTCCTCTTATCTGCCACATCCCTCTTACTCATCACTTAAGGCTTCAAAATTGCTTCTTTTTTTTCCTCTGCTCGTCTGTGGTTGGAGGTGCAGGGGGAGACTATAAGAGAAGAATAAACATCCATTTGACTTTTCAAAATCCTATCCACCTCTACTTTTGTTATCTCTTACCCTTTTATATACATTTTGCTTAAAAAAAAAACACAATCATAAATCAACTTTTGAAAAAAAAAAAAAAGCATGAGATGAAGTAGCAATGATGAAATAATGCAAAACACAAATACACAAAAAAATGTGCTTTTGCCAAAAAATGAAAACAACTTAGAGGTAGCTTTTATAACAAATGACCAAACCTTCCAGCTCATTAACAAGCGGGGTTAATAATACCAAGTTTGGTAACAAGTAATGCACAAAGAAATACACAACATTAGAAAAACAAAAAACAAAATCTCTTCACCGTGGCACTTAATTTTTCTGCGTACACATTGCTTCATCATGTTGTGCAATGCCTCTTCTCCACACACGCTCATGAACAGAAAGTGTACAAACGAAACAAAAGGGAAAATTAAAATACACAAGCAACATGAGGTCACAAAACGAGGTAATTCAAGTACGATGTGTTGAGATCAAACTCAAGGTCAATAATAACAACAACAGCAACAACAACAACAACAACAACAACAACAACAGGAGACGAGAGAGACAAAGCGCAGGGACAAAACCACAGAGAAAGAGTTGATTTATTCTGTCGTCTTATTGGTCGCCCCCTAAGCTGCTGGGCCGTGTCTCGTCCCATCAGTGATTTCCCCCTTTTCCACCGGCCATTTGGATATGTGATCACCCCGGTAACGCTGTGACATGCAGTGATGCTCATTAAAGCCAAAGGTTCAGCCATAATACCTGCGGCTGCGCAAGTCACACAGGTCTAATACTGCATTTCAGAGATGCCAGAAAGTCGGAAAATTCCCACCTCCTCCTCACCAAAATAAGCCTTTCAGTCCAGGCAGCATGGGAGCATTTACTGTAAATACACATAACATTTAACAACCCTCAAAGCAGGGACTGCATTTACCTACAAACGGGCCTCGGTTGCAAGACGAGGGCCCTACTTTCCTCCAACTCTCCGTACGTTAGTGTGCACGAGCATCCAATACAAACAGCAGCGTATGCATAGAATATTATTAATCATATTTTGCTCAAGTGGTAATTTAAATAAATGCAAATATATTTGGGATTATGCACCATTTAAACACACTATCTGTACTATAACTACAGGAGAGGACCCTAGATAAGGCAGGACCAACCTTAAGGTCCTGATTTCAGTTGATATTCTACTCCAGTGGTGCATATTCTCAAATAAAAATCCACTGACAGACACTGAATCTGGGGCTTCACAGGCCAGTTAGTAATCCAGCCTTCCCTCTCCGTACACTGAAGTCTGAATCTGAAGATCACTGCTCAGCCCTTTCGTCAGATCATTTTAACAAAACATTAAAACGCCTGATAGTGAACGATTACACATTAATTTCAAACGCATATCAGCATTTACAGGCGCTAGCTAGCTAGCTAATACACGGGGAACAGCCTTTGAAGCTGGATGGAGAAAATCTTCCGAGTTGTAACAACCTTTTAAGGTGAGAATAATAGATTTCTGACTTCCAGTGAAAGGCAGCATTAACCTGCTGTGTATTCTCACACAGCCTCGTACGAACCTGGCTCACAGTCTTTCACATTCATGTTTTGATGCCATATAACAGTCTTCAACCTGCCGCACCACCTTCAACAAAGGCGTGCAGCTAAGGCATTCCCAGCACTTCTTCAACATTCACTACGAGCGGTCGAAGTCACAGGACTCCCACGGAAAGCAGCGGTTTCCTATTTTCCCATTTTCCATCACTGCGGTGAATAGACAGATCTGTTGCGGTCAAAGTGTTACTGTTTATGTGTCAGTTTGTGTAGTTCATCATTAGTGTGAGATAACGAGAGTCATCTGGTTAATGTACATGGATAAAAGCAGTCCAGTCATCTATTGCTGAGTATGTGGATAGGCTGGGTTTAATGTGGCATACTGTGATAGAGAGTTATTATTTAATGAAAAATGATATAACTTGCAGACATCAAACAGAGACTGTTGTCGTAATTTGTTTTACCTGTGCAATCAAGCCATGATAAACTATGATGCGGAGCTAAAAATAATATAAGATGAAAAAGTGACGGAAGTTAGTTTCTCTGGGGAGAACCGTGGGTGGCCAGTGGTGACTCGACTTTCTCCAGCCCTCATCTGACAGAGATGCAGAACCAGGAAGACTACTGAGAAAACTGGGGAGACTTCCAACAAAAAAAAGCAGCACTATCATCCCCGCCTCCTCCCCAACAACCAAAACAGGTGCTTGGTTTGCAGTATTTTAGTGCTCCCATTCATCCAGTTCAACTGTTTTGTCTACTGCATACGCCTACTGGCTCCGCTGCTGATTCTCAGGGGCTATCTCGCTGCCACCGCTGGCATCTGAAGGATGTTATGTATGGACAGGTTGTACTGGCAGATTTCTGTGAAAAGTAGGAAGAGCTGTGTCTACTGCGTGGGCAGAAATGATGGGGGGTTGCAAAAAAAGACACATTTCCTATTGGGGATGGAAAGAATTTTTCAGCCAAAGCTGATCATTCAAACTTTATCGTGGTTCATAACTACCGTACCATGAAGGCTGAAGGTAGCCATGAGATGAAGGATTTTGGCTTCTGAAAGCCAGCAGTTCCTCAGTACTTGGAAAGCAAACCATGACCTGATGAACTGGGGGCCTAATCTGATCATATTCACATATTCTTCATGTGATCCAAAATGGTCTGACTAAACAGGGTAAGTGTAAACAAACCAAAGCAGAACAAAAAAACCCCTTTGGATTAGTTTGGATAACTCAAAATGGAGTGAAAGATTTGGTTCCTGATGGCGAGAATGTGTCTTTGAGATAGCCCTTGAGAACCAGTGCAGCTCGCTCACTTTATGGCGCTGCATGAAATCACCCGAAACAATAACACAGTTGCAGATGTAGTGAATGACCCGGTGAATCCGAACAATGGTGGAGAATCTCACCCCGTGTCCAAGTCCACCTCTTCTTAGCACTTTTGTCCCATCATCACCACCCTTTTACCCCGTCGGTCGTCGCCGCCTTTGCATGAAAAGAAAAAAGAGAAAACAAACCCTCTTGCTTTCGAGTCTCTTGCCATTGACATTCCTCGATCGCCAAAACTCCACCATAGCCTCCTGCCTCCTATCCGCTCAATTACATTCCCCTCACCTCCCCCAACCCCCGTCCCCACCCTTACACGTACCCTCCCCTCTCTTCATTCGCTCTCCTGGCCTCAGACATAGCAGAGGTACAGGTAGGTCTTCTCTATGCGCCAGTCTGGCGGGATGTCTTCGGGCTTGTGGCCTTTCATGTGCTTCTGCATGGCTGACAGGCTGGGGCAGTACTCCAGGCAGATGGTGCATTGGTAGGGTGAGGCGCCGTTGTGGGTGCGCAGGTGCTTGATCATGGCCGAGTAGTCCCTGGATCGCTGGTGGCACAGCTTGCACTCGAATGGCTTCTCACCTAAGGATGATAGGGTGGGGTTGAAGACAACAATTGCGTTAGCCATAGTGCCTTTCAGTGACAGTATTATGTCCTTGTTGAAGCGTGATGTGCGTGTTAATCAGGAAATAAATGCATTTGATACAGAAATCAATTGAAAGAGAAGGAGAAGCTGTATTAGTCTGTGAGGTGTTCTAGGAAACACAGCGGCTTTTGTCATTCACACCAGAAGACCAGAAAATTCACTTATCTCCACCAATTCCAATAAATCCTTGTTGTTCCATAAACAGTACACTTGAAAAAGCAGTGTGGTACATCAGAGCACATCAGAGCATCGTTGTGAAGGCCTGAGCCAGCAATGTAATATTACTGTTGGATCCAGTATGGATCTTCTATGACTTGATAGCCAAATTGCTATGTAGTTTATAGCCACTGCAGTATTATTACAACCTGGCTCTTATTTTTATAGTTTTGGCCATGATTTTCTATGATGTTAGGAGGCTGTACTTAGTAAGGTAATGGCTAGGAAATCTGGGAACACAATGACATTGCTACAATGCAATGCAAGAGCAGGAGACACTGACTGTCTAAAATCAGTGGTTCCCAACCTGGTGTCAGGAGACCCGCAGGGGTCCTTGAAGGGTTTCGAGGGGTTCCCCATAAGAAATGAGGGAAATTAGTAGCAAATGGCAGCTAGTACAGTTAACACATACAGCAGTTGCTTCAAAGATACTCAAGTCTCGGTGACAAGGCTATTTCTTCTGTGACTATCTGACTAACGAAAAGGGGATCGACTACGACTCTTCTCAGCGGTTAAGCAACGGTTTAGTCGACTATTAGGGGACAGCCCTATATGGAATAACTAAGTCTCCTCAGTAGGGATCCCTGAGACTATATTTTAACAAATATGGGTCTGCAGTCTGGTGTGTATTAATTTGAAAGTCCTCAACACCAAAAAGGTTGAGAACCACTGGTCTAAATCACTTTATTCACAGGTAAAACTGCAACTGAGTGCACCCAAAGTGTTGGCAACACTCCCTAATCGCACAGAAAAGCCACGTGCGGTAAATATGATATGTATTTCTTTTCAACCTGGTTTGTTTTATACCCATGTTTCCAACTTCTTTTTAGTGATCTTAGCAATTATTAACTCAGTGATAGTGCTTTTATTACTGATGTGTTGTCCAATACTACAGAAATAAGATCCACAGTGTAATAAATCTGAATTTTCCTTTCACAGCAATATTTTGTCTGTTGACACACACCGCAGCATATGCACCTGTTGTGTAAGAAGTAAAAAAAGTCTCCATGTCAGGGCTTCAAGAGTGAAAAATAGCCCATCGACACTAATTTAGAGACCACAGATTTCACCCCGCTGGCCCACAAGAAAATCTGGTGTTGTTATGATAATTGGACTGTGCACACAGCGATTGACAAGTCGAAACCCAGGAGTGAAATCCCAACTGTCTCCCGAACAGCAGTGTGCAGTAGTAAGAGACCACACTAACTCTTTAAAGTCATTCCAACTGCCCTCAGTAATTGGTACAACTCAAAAGAGAAAGAGGGAATAAAAGAATAAATGTACAGTAGTGGAGCTTGTTCTGAGAGACAGCATCAACACAGTGCCAGTCAGGTTCATCAAACTATCCCTCAAGCAGCTATAACAAAATGATCTTCTAATTATTCTTGTGGTTGAGGGGATAGAAATCCTTTGTGTCCAGTCGTTATCAATTCTCATTACTGCTCTTTATTAAAAGACCCTTCTGTATTGGGGTTTTGGAACTGTTTAAGACTTTTTTTCATATAATAGTGTGAGAAACACGTCCTGCTATGAAATCGAATGTGGCAGCAGAGGTTTTTCAAGACCACACATGAAAGTGTCAGAAAAAGCTGGAGAGTTTCTAAAACAAGTACGTGCTTGTGTTTGTTGCCCTGTCACACTTTTTTGTAGTCAGCATGTTTTAGCATCTTTAGTTACTTTGAAGATTACAGTCTTCATACCTTTACTCTCTAGTGAGAATCATTTATCTGATTTCTTCATTTTGTGATAAACTGAAGGATAAACTGTCTTCCTACTTCTTAAACTAAATCAAATGTTTAAAAACCATCTTGGATTAGGTGGAAAATGCATTGTCACAACCTGAAAACAGGGCTGTTTTCTGAGCTCACGAAAAGCGACGCTATAAACATTTGATGATCTTATAGAATATGATGCATTGTTACCCAGCAGTAGTTAAAATGAGCTCAACCTTAAACATCTACAGCAGTAAAATACAACACAGATGTTAATTTAGCGGTAATATCAATCCATAAACATCAGATATTATTGTTAAACATTATATCCCATTTCTTCCAGTAGATCCTCTGAAATGTTACAAACTCGACCTTTTAGTAAAGGATCTGAATACGTCTTCCACCACTCATAACTGGCACAAATGATGGTCAAATCTGTCAACATACGGAGTCATAATGACAATCTAATAACATTTAAATAAAGATCTAAACAGGCTAAAATTCCAGGAATATGTGATGTTTAAATGTCTGGCATTTCTTGTAAACCACATCTAATCTATGGTACATTACACAAAATACAGCTCCTGCCATAGACAACTCCTGAAGGTGTCATAAATCAAAGTGCAGCGCTGCTTTCTTGCTGTGGGGGCTGCTATATTCAAGAGGCACATTTCAATTCAGCAACAGCAGCCATCCTAAATGTGCTAATGATTTGAGTGATGGCAGGGAATAATCCACCAGCACTCAAGCCGGCAGACGCAAATTAGACATGTAAATGCTGACCTTTACCAATGGCATTTGAAATGAGCTGTCGGAAGTGATCTGGCCCAGCGCTTGCTGTCACCTTTCAGCTGGAGCCTCACACGTGTGCGGCGGCAAAACGGGCCTCATGCCTCTGCCGCTCGCTCTGTCTGTCCTTTCGGAGCCCTGGTTAACCTTGACCTCCGTGGGGGCTTGGTTATGGTGCCATTTAGCCAATAAGCGTAAATACGATGTTGCAGGTCGTCATGTGCAGCAGTGTGGACACCCACCTTCTGATGATATTGATAACCACACTGTAAACAGGGTCGCCTCAAATAACCAGCTAATAATGAATTGCAAATGGGGCCCAGGTATTGATCTGCCATTGGCATTTGGGATGTGTGGAGAGAAGGGGGCGGGGGGGTTAGGTTGCCAATGTCGATGATTCATCAAGCAGCTCCCTTTTGTGCGAGGTGGCCTTTGACTGTGAGCTTGTCACTTGCTCTTGTTATCTGCTGTTGCTCTCCGGCTTAACGCAAAGCCCCCTCCCCCACACAAAAGGGGAAAGGGTGGACGGAGGGGAGCCAATTATTGGACAGGCTGCCTTGATAGTGTGGCTTAACAGCTGGCTTATTGAATGGGAGACGGGAGGGCGCTGCTGTGTGTGTGCGTGAGAGAAAAAGAGATGGTGAGGAAGCATAAAGCCTTGGCCGTGTGCCATCCTGGTGAGCACTCGTGGTATCCTCACTCAGTCTGGTACGCAGAGCGCACTCATTCTCCAGGGCACCCAGCTTATCACTGTGTCAACATCTTTATGGGGCTCTAAATATACTGGGATCAATACAAAGTCTTCTGAGACATCTATCTACTGTATCACAGCAACAGAGATATTCATCTGGTCGGGTCTGTGCCTGGGTTTCCTACATCACAGTCCTTTAACAGGCACCAAAAGCTGCATCGTGTTTCAACGCTGTGATATCATGAGGGCCGATGAGATATAATGTTGCATTCATATTTTATTAGGAGAAGTGGAATAATGAGATGACGTCTCATTGATACAGTTTGAAAGTGTTCATGACACTCATGAATAGAGGCAGACAGATTTATCTATTTTTAGGTGGATAACAATATCCACATTTAAGTGTAAGACAACAAAATAAAGGTTATTATTACTATTATAACTATTATTGACTGATAGCATAGATATAACCTCATATTCAAAGAACAGAGCTGGAGTCAGGACGTTGTTAGCTTAGCATAAAGACTGGAAGCAGGGGGAAACGTTTAGCCTGGCTCTACAAGCTACTGTAGCTGTCAGATTCTGTGGGGCCTACATACTGTAGGTTAGACATGCACTGAGAATACCCAGCTAGCTTTTTAGCTTAAGACCAACAGTTGGTGTTGACATAGGGCTGTAAAGCATTGTGCACTTGGGCATTACCCACCTAATCCAAGTTACATAGCGCAAGAACAGGCGTTTGGGGTGCCGAGTGGGAATGAGGCATCATTCTGCCTATTACAAGTCTGTATACCATAAAAATGATTTTGGAAGCTGTTATTTTAAGGTAAAATTGTTGCATAATTAATCAACATGTTGTATCTTGGCTGTGTGTGTACATAAAGAAAATGGTTGAAAAGGATTGTTGTTTTAGAGCAGGGGTTTCCAAACTGTTTCCATGTCCACAATAGATGCACATTAGACCACAGACCCTGAATTAGAGAGGATTATGTCTTCAGGCATCCTATCATAGTAACTGTTTTTTATTATTAGGTTGGAAGATAAAGTCTTTATCGTCAATCAATGTTCATACTAGGATCACTATAAATTACAATCGTTCAAAATGGCCAATCTTATGTCTTCCCTTGGTGTTTCAACTTCAAATAAAAGTTAAAATACTTAAATATTTTTCTATAACCACTCAAGGAGCCCTGTTGGTCCTCGGATCTAAGTCTGAAAATCACAGTTTTAGAGGGAGTTAAGTGGTGAAACGATGTCTAGTTTGAGACTAGACATGCACAAAGATAAACTGTTGAAAATCAAGACAGAGTTCCAGCACACAGCAGTTCCATCAATAAATGCAGCGTTTTTCTCTTCAAACATCTTTGTCAGTTCGATCGCAGTACCTGTGTGCACACGGTAGTGGGTTTCCAGCTGGTGCTTGAGGCTGAACTTCTTCCCACAGCCGTTACATTCATAGGGCTTCTCCCCTGTGTGGATGCGTTTGTGGCCCTTCAGCGTGCTCTCATCTCGAAAGCAGCTCCCGCAGAACTCACACTCGTATGGGTGGTCCCCTGCTGTAAAGTGGAAAAAGACAAACAAAGTTCACTTCATCAGCAGACAAGACCTTGTTGTAGAAAGGCAAAAGTACAACAGTTCTCGACTGAGGGGCAGAACAATGAAGCACAAATTCATCTGAATGTTGTTAAAACTTTAACTAAAGTCAGTCTTTTGTGGTCGGTTGGCTCTCAGCAGCAGTCTGACTATTGTTGGATGTAGTGATACCTAAAGGGAGCCACATTACTGAACGATTTGTCTGATTATTTTGGTGGGTTTATGCACACTGCCAGAACAACACGCTCTAATGGATACTCACGCTATACAGCTTTAATACCAGCAGACAAATGTAACCCCATCTTTTGTCTATTCTACAAATCACCTGCACTGCTGTTTTGTGTAAAGCCTTAAATAATTGTAGCCTGTCATGGCTGTTCACTGGCCATGAGATGAATTATTGACCATGCGGTCCCAGTCTCACAATGCTTGGATAACCTGGATAACCTTACTGATGCATATTCGGTTTAACTCTAAGAATTGTAGGCATTTAGGGTAACATTTTGGTTAAATGAAAAGATCAGAAACAGGAAAGGAAGTCAAGTGCACAACTCTATCTGCCTCTCCATACCTTCTCTTTCAATGTATTACTTCACTGTCAGCGTACTGTCTGTTTCTATTCATGGCTCCTCTGTGTAGTCCTTTCACACTGGGTAAATGTGTTCTCACTTTTTATTTACGGAGCGCCACATTTTCATTCTGAGACATTAGACTCATTTCAGACACTGGCAGCGGATGTACAGTATGTGTGGCTTCAGAAATGAAAATGACAACAGGCATCACATTCAGCTCCTCAGGCTGCCAGCGCACAGGTCCCTACAGGGCAGCTGTAATGGATATTCAGATGTCAGTGATCAGGGATATTATGATTTGCAGGAGGCTCTCACCAGCAGTCCAAAGACTAATTGTATTCCAGTGTTTGATGAGGAGCTGCTCCTTGCGTCATTTGCTTCCCCCCCTACCCCTCCCCGGTTACACTCTCCAGCCAAGTAATGTTGTGGATATTTATTAATGTATTTCACTCCACTGCTGCAGGTTTAAGTCACCATCAGTGACCTATGCCTTTCATTATCTGCCTGTCCGAGCAGCAACGTGCCAGGGAATAAATTGCATTTCTCGTTATGTGCTGCCGCCGCTGCCCCGCTGTTAGGAGACAATTTCACTTCCATCCTGCATATTTTATTTAAGGTTTTTACGTCCGTATATACAGTATGTATGTGTTTATTTGGTTTATTCAGGAGGAGAGGCATGAAAGAGGAATGAAGGGTCGACACCCTTTAAATGCTGATCATATTTTGGGTGCTAGATTTTCATGGAAAAAAAGATGCCATGTGATGTTGGACGCCTCCCCCATTACAGAGAAGCTTTGATGGGGATGGAGGGGGTGCAGGAGGAGGGATAAAACTGAGACAGGGATGGAGCTGGGGATGTGGGTGTATATGGCGGCGGTGGTGGGGGCTGGGTGAAAATCAATAAAAGTGACAGTCTTTATTTGTCTGCGTGAAGTTATCAGTGGCTCCCGCTGTAAGACATTGTGCTCTTTCTAGCGTTTCAACCACAGCAGAGATCACAATCCATCACGGAGCTCGGTGGGCTCACACGACGCTACAAGAATAATAATTGAGCTCAGATTCACCTGCCTTTAATTAGGGCCTCCGATCAGACCAGCGAGAGGGATGCTAATACTCAGAGGAGGCCTATGGAGGGTTATTTACGTTTAATGTCCTGTTGCTCCGCTAACGTCTGCTGTTAGCGAGCATCATCGAAAATCTTCAATTAGCTAGAAAGAGCTTGTAGTCTTCCTCGTTTCAATACACTTGTTTTACTTAAAAGAATATACAACATTTACTGTAAAATATAGTGTGCATTGTGCCAATCTTTAATTTCAGAATGCAACAGAACAATAAATATAGAGAACAATATAGTGTCCACCTTGACATCACTCCTTGATTTCTGTACAGATGTTCTGAATTCCTGATGTGGGTTATATTTCACTTCATTTTGACTTTATTACTCAAATTTTTCACTAACAGCATGGAAGTTATTATTTTTATTTCTTATGTGACCTTTATTTCACCAGGAATATTGGACATGGAATATTGCCATTAAGATTCACAATCTCTTTTTCAGGGGAGTCCTGGTTCAAAAGCAGTTGTAAGTCTTTACACTTTATCTCAAGATGAAATATTTATTTTCAATGCAAACTACTGACATTTTGTTAGATTTAGTATTTACATTTTATATATATATATATATATATATGCAAGTCTGAGGCCCCCAAAACAACATATCCAACTAATAATGACAAAACTACTATACTATGCTACTCATTGTATGCCATTACCCATAAAAACTAAATTAACAACAATTGATAATCTATTAATTGTTTTGACTGATTTGTTTTTTACTGACTTTTTTGAGAAAAATGTCCAAATTCTCTCATTTTCTTAGAGCAAACAACCAATCGATTCATTGAGAAAATAATCAACAGATTAATAGATAATTGAGCTGAGAGAGAAGGTAACTTTGATTAGGTGTAATAAATAGGCAACACATAACAATGTTTGATTTCTGATTGGGAATAGATACTGTACGTCCACACAGTGTCAGACGTGAGTGTGTGTGTCTGTCAGCTGAGGCATAAAAGGACAGATCGGTATAACATGCCGAGCGGCTGCTGGCCAGCTCCAGCATCCTGTTTGTCCCTGGGATGCATATCATGCATGTTATCTCCTGTAGCCACTCGGGGACGCCAAAGTGCAAAGCTGCACTGCAGAGCTTTAAATAAATCAGACACAATTCTATAATCACACTGTGAGGATGTAAAGGGCTAGACAGGACTTCATTTTGTTGGGATATTCTCACGGGGGCTGGAGAATAATGGGCACATGTCCTCTGTCCATCCTAAATCTGCCACTTCCTCTCTCCTCCTCTCATCCCCTTCCTTCCCTTCCCTCCTATCTCTTTTCATTCTCTCTGCTGTGACCACATGGCAGGGAGGCCACAGATGAGGACCCAGCACAGTGAGGTGGAACCACAGCATGGTGAGTGGACCCTTGGGTGCCCCCGAGCATCACCACCTGCGTCTCCTGACCCCCTCCCCCCCCTCACCTCTACATTTACACCCTCCCTCTCTCTCTATCACCTCCTTTGACACCCCAAAGGACTGCTGAGGGTGCCTGTGCCCATGGGCACCCGGGGCGTGTTCATTATATATGGTAAGAGGCTGTAAATCACCGGGCTCCATCACTGCCAGGACCAGAACTGGCTCATTCTCTCTCTCTCCAAATTCAATTCTATCCTCTCTCTCTCGCTCTCTCTCTCTGGCTGTAGCACTATCAAATACAGCTGCGAACACAAAACACCCCGCCATAGCAGACAGCAAATTGGCTCCGGGTTTAAAAAAAAACACACACACAGACACTTACACACAGACAGTGCACAACAACGGAATATTAATGAAGGCCTGGTCTGTAAAGAGCGAGTGTGTGTGTGTCTGTGTGTGTGGTGTTAGGGAAGGGGGAATAGCACAGCTGCCATGACTGCCACTGTTGTAAGCACAGCTCTTGAACCTATACTGTAGAGTACATACATGCAATAAAGATATAGAAAGTAAATAAAGAGGCAACATGGAGCTGAGCGTGTGTAATATCCTGGCGTGTTAAGAGAAGGTTATGAAACTGCAGGTAGACGGAGGAAAATGAGAAGACGCAGCGAGGGAGAGGAGGAGAGATGACATGATTAAGATGCTGGAATAAACACCATTAAATCTGTTTTTTTTTTTCCTTCCTCGTCCTAAATGGTGATCCAGTGTCAGAGCCCGCACCAGCAAGGCTGCTTTCAAAAGATAAGCCAGCAGACAGGTAAAATGAAGCACACGTAATGAATGTCCATAAAAGTGCTTTTGGCTGCTTTCTGTTGTCAGTCGATACAACAGAACGGTGACTCAACCAATAACCAAGCTATATCTAGAAAGCTCTCTGCGGTAGATGAGCTGCCACAGTCTGTCCATTAAAATTAGGGTTGGATACTGGGAATTGAGATTTTGGTATTTCTGGGGAATTCTTGCTAAAATTGACTCATTTCCAGTGAGAAAAAATACCTGCGGGAACACGTGACTTTTTGCATGTGTGCTAAAGACTACTGTATAAAATAGACGCCTCATTACGCCGCTAAACCATAAAGCTGCCGCACTTAAACACTCTGACCTTGAAAAAGCCATTATTAAGGCAATATAACTGGATCAACTTTTCAGCTCGAGCGGTTTTTCCCCATTTACTTTTAATTCTACAATGACTGCCCACAATGGCTGTGAATCAAAATCTGCAAACGAAAACTTTGCAGATGGTTCAACAGGTGGCTGAATCAGACACGCAGGCCTCCATAATCACATCTGAATATAGAACAGTCAACAGGTGGAGCATTGGATGCATAGGATCACATTAGTGGTGCTACTAAACATCCAGAAATAATACTACCATGACCCAAAACCCCCGAAAGAACACTCCGGAATGGCTGCATCGAGGATTGCCCTCCTCTGTCGCTGCATCCAGTAATAACTTCAGGTCAACCCCATACGCACTCTCATATAACCACTCACATGTACCGTATTAAAACTAGTACAAGATAAGAGAATATTCTACTGTGTTGTTTTTATATAGATATTTGGAACTGGAAGTATATGTATTTGTTGCTATAACCTCTGAAAAAGTTTTGAAATAAAATGGAAGAACATTGGAATAATTCTGCAGTTTATTTCTTTATTTCTTTAAAAAATCCTAGTTTCACCCTGGAAAAGAGTGATATATTAGTAGGAAGTAATCAGCCGCTTTCCTGCACAGTCAATCCAAACATACACGACTTGTGCAGAATTAAATACAAGCTTTAAAACACATCTTGACTCACATCTTGTGCCTACAAAATAAAAATAAAAATCTGGAAGAGTGTGCGATGAATCACTCTGAATACAGAGAAAATAAGAGGACAGATGAGAACATGTATGAGTCACCCACCTCTTGTATCATAATATTTGCTTAGCAATTAATAGACAATATTATGTTGAGTGATGTGGATAAGATGTTCTCTGATAGTATGTGATGTTCACCAATATCAGTGTATATAAAAGATGCACTTTTTGGAAATGTATGAATGGTTTGCGAAGACGAATATGTTCTTTATTAGAGTTAGTTTGATCCTGCAGTCCAGAATTTGAACTGTTTGATCTTTGTCTTGGCTACACTAACGGACAGACCTTTAATAACATAAAAGTTATATGTCTTTTGTGACAGTTCTTGCCCTGGGTGTTGTCTCTCAGGCTACATTCAGGTAGCCTGAACCCCTTAGTGGTGAAGCTTGTTGGGGCTGTACGCAGGTGGGGGGGGGGAGATCAGGGGACGCTGTTCAGAACTGAAAACAGTACCGTCAACAGCTTTGCATGGGTTTTGGTAAAAAAACACCCCTAAATGTTATTTAAGCTATATGTTGATTTAGAGTTAATATTTTAAAAAGACACAATAACTGAACATCAATCAAAGACAATACAGTAAATGTGGAACCAATAAAACCAAAAACCTCCAGTAATTTGTAATAATTTTGAACCCTGTGCAAATCTTAAAAAACTACAAATTCCAGTGCAAATTACCCTCCATATTTTGTCAAACACAGAGGTCATGTGATAATATTCATATCTGTCAAAATTATGTTTGAAAATACAGGAGGTTTTCGTAATTAAGTAAATAAATAAACATAATTCATGTCATTTTTCGCTACAGTGCCCTCTATTAAAATCAAAACCAATCACTTCACTTGGCTGACGTCAGACAAACTCTGTGTACGACGATTATTCGTAATGAATTTTGAAGGTCATAAAAATTACATGAGTTCCCCAAGAGATGGCCTTGAAATTCGGGAGAAACCCCAGAAAAACGGGTATAAATATTGTTTTTTTTTCTCTGTGCCTTTTTTCTACCTCTTTCCCGGTCCAGAATTATAGAGGCTGTGTTGGCAGTTATTAATTAAAGTTCTGACAGTATTTTGGGTACAAATTTAGGAGGCTCATCTTGCTACACAGTGTGTCGATCCATTTGCTAAAAGCTCAAATCCATCAGGAGAACCAAATCTCGAAAGATGATGAGATGGATGACAAAGCCTTGACATCATATCCGGGAGAATAATGTCAGTAAAATACAGAACTTGTTTGTCCTCTGGTAACACTAGTCCCGTGCAAATAGAGCCATAGTAAATGCATTTGAATTTCAAATTTTTAGTAGGAAAGCACAATATTGTTCTGGATGAGGATTTATGGGACTCTGTATTCTGGGTAAAGGTAAAAAAGAAAAAACAAGGGTGCTGAGGAGTTATGGTGCATGTAGGATAATAACAATAACCTGTGAGATATGGACAGGCGTTCAGATGGACTTGGTTGGATGAGGACATTGCATATGTCTGTAAACAAACCCGGCTGCATGTAGGTAAACATATAAGGCTGATTCTCTGGGGTGGATACGCTGTCTAGCTCTGTCTCTTTTTAAACACTATTTTTGCCTTGTTACCCAGCAAAGTGTGAATGAGATTATTAACATCAAAGTGTAAATGTAGAGGAACACCATGCCTCTACTTCTTCGTCTTTTTTTTTTTTTGGAGGGTAAATTAGGACCTATTTCTGGCACCCATCTGACTTTATAATCCCTGACAAAAGGCTCCCACATCAAATACTTTACCACGATTGCTTTCACGGCTGGCTCATTGTGATTTAACACACGCCCACAGCGGGATGAGGTTCAAAGTGGCATGAGGCTGCAAAGTCTCATCTGCGGCTCCACAGACGAGCTGAGGTGACATTTGCGTCGCCCGGGTGGGCAGGTGGATCAGAGACGACGCTTGTGTCCTCTCCAATGTCTGCTAGACGGAGCAGATGTGTGCACCACTACTGTACAGGCGGCTCAAGCAGCTCCGTCCACCCCTTACCCTTACCCCGATCCCCCCCACCTTCCTCCAGCCCCTACCACCATCACACACTAATGGTGTATTTGCCTGACTTGTAAATAGGGCCGACTGCTCTCATCTCACTGCCTTTCGTTTCAAATATTTATCCGTGAGCTGGTGAGCTAAATCGGCTCTGACAGTGAGACTGTTATTTAAGGTCGCAGACAGGCGGCTGGGTGAGAGAGAGAGAGAAAGGGGGGGGGGAAAGCATCCATCCCTCGCCGGTGAAATGGGATTCATTTCCATGTGTTCATATTCTGTCATGGTTACGGGGTTTTTTTCTTTCTTTTTTTTCACTCTGAATAGCCGCATCCGTCAGGCTACCTCTGCTCCCTCGCAACAATGTATTAGTATCCTGGCCTCGCCTCAGTGGAGAGCCAGCAGTGAGAGAATTACTAGTGGACTGAAGAAAAAAACAACAACAAAAAAAAAGAAACAGTCACTGTAAATAAGCTTCGTCTGACTGCTGCAGAATTCATTTTGTGATGACCTGAATTAATGCTGTTTATTCAGCTGAGCTGAAGCGGCAGTGTAACTGCGACGGGATAACATAATTCTCTCCCATTTCCTAAAATAAAACATATTTTTTTCCCCGTGGTATTATACTGTAAGCTATATTTGTCCACCACAATCCTTGTAGTGGGTCAGAGTGGAAGGTTTGTGTAGGTTTTTCCCACTACGGCTGTACAACGTGCAGTTGTTTTTATGGTCAGGTATGCTATTACTCTAATACAGCAGGGTGGGAGGTGGTAATATACTATACTGGTAATCTGAGAGAAAATCTGTTGTGCAATACATAGACAAGAAAAAATAATGAATTCTTCTGAGATTCAGGACGCAGATTTCTGAGACAAAATAAGGAATTTATATTAAATTTGAAGAAAAAAAAAGATTTAGAACTTAATGTCTGACTAATAAAGGGCTGCAACAATCAGTCGAAGATCCATTAGTTGTCGACTATTTTAAGCAATAAGCAACTATTTTTTAATGTTTAACATTTTTTAAGAAGAAATCCTACTTTCAGATCTGAAATTTTGAATATATTCTAGCTTTCTTTAGTCCTCTACGACATTAAACTGAATATCTTTGAGTTGTAGACAAAACAAAACATTTGAGGACGTCACCCTGGGCTGACATTTTATGGACAAACAACTAACCAAATTATAAATCAATGATGAAAATAAGTCACCAATGAGGGCCCCCATTAAATAAAGGTAGTTAGTAATATGCACCATGTAAACCCAATATCAGCTGAAATAAGTCTTAAAACTAGATTTTGACTCAGGGAGGGTCTTTAACACAAGCCCTCATTATCAGGGAATAAAGCAGGTCATCCCTTTTAATCAGTCAGTTGATATGTGTGTTTAAGTAGAGCATATTTCCATATATGACTAAAATTAATTGTAATACTAACATCCCACTGCCACACAGGGAAGCTGGGGCATTGCTCTGGGGATCTGGGACCTAGGGTCAGATGGTAATTTAGTCTTGCTATCATGCAATACAATAATAATAAGTCATAACAATATTGAGACTGAGTGGCTTGTCTATACCGTAACTCAGCAATTGGTGCTCCTGTCACACATACAATACCCCAAATGTTTTCAAATAGTTTCAATGATTAAACATGCCTGAAATGAAATCTTTAAAATGACACTGATCCCTGGGACTTCACACTCAAATTTCATTTTTTTAATGACAAATCCTTGATGTCAATGTGAACCCCTGCTGCTCGGCTCTATTAGTAGTTTGGTGGAAACAGAATGACTTCAAATGTGCTCATTTGATAATAAAGGGATAGACACAAATGGTGATGCAAGTTGGCTGCAAATTCTTATTTGAGCATGACCAACGGAGTTGAGTAATCTCCTGACCAGATATGCTGCTTGCAGCATTGCACTGGTGCACCTGAGCCTCTGATGTAAAATAGGTTGGACCAGGAGGAAGGAATTATTAGTAAGGTGTGGTGAGAGCTAGCAAGTATGGCAAATTAGTAATCAGTATTAGTAATTCTAGTTAGTCAACTGTCAATATTTTATCAGACAGTTGAAGTAATAACTTATATAATAATTGGATTATCATGGCTTTGAGGGAGGACTCTTGATGTCTGTCTACCAGCCCTCACCGATGTTTGTGGATACTGTGACTGGCATAAGTTCCTTTCACAGGGTGTCTGAGCTACTGCACCCTCATGTCAAAAGGAGCTCTGGGTGTTGTTGATCTCTGATTCTGATGTCCCCCAGTGGCTTACACGTGCAGATATTTTGGGTTAAAATGGCAGCAGACCCTTGGACTGACCCACAATACTCCAGAGGGACTACATATCCCATCTGGTCTGGGAAGGTCAAATGATTCCCCAGAATGAGCTGGAGAATGTGGCTGTGGAGGGGCCGTAACCCAGAACTGGAGGGTAATACACTATGAAGCACAGTGATGCTTCGTTTTGTATCACTGATGAACTTGAAGCCTGGCCATCGCAGTGAAGATGGCTATCGAGCGCTTCCACTGACCTGTGTGTGAGCGTAGGTGACGTTTGAGTGCAGTATGGCTGGGGAAAGTCCGGTTGCATTCACTGCAAATGTAGCTGCGAACGCCGGCGTGGACTTCCATGTGCTGCTGCAATGCCGTCTGGGTCTGGAAACGCTTTCCACAAAGCAGGCAAAAGATGGCCATGTCCGACCCTGCAGAGCCAGAAGACACAAGGCGAGTTAGTGGTGAGAGCACAATCATATTGTTACTGATAGAAATTGTGGGCAGAATGACAAAAAAACAGACTTAAGTAGGAATGGAAAAGCACTGTGGAGCCTGAGGTGTCACCTCTCCCAACAGCACTTCATGGTAGATAAGGCAATGCCAGCTTAGCTCAGACAAATCACACTAAAGGTTATGCATGCACAATGATTAAGACACAGGATATGCAACAACTCAGGTGCTATGTGGTAGGCTCAGACACATTACAGTCTACCAACTGTGCCTTACATGAAGAACACTGTATTTATAGGATTAAAGGTGCACACAATACTCATGTTTCAGGGTGGGTGAGTAGAGAGATAAAGATCTTCTATGCAATACTTCAATCGAATCTTGACTCCAGCGAGCACTGTGCATTTTTCTCCAGCAGAGATAAAGAGCGCACAGTTGCAAGCGCACAAACACATAAAATCACAAACAGAGGAACAGACACACACAGTTGCACGCTCTCTTGAACACACTCCCTTCACACTTTTTCAATTACCAGGCTGGGGAAAACTCTGGGGAAGGACTGAGTGTTTGGAGCTCAGTTTCTATTTCATCAGTCAATAACACATCTTTGGGGCAAAGCTGACACTAATTTAAAAATCTATGAAGAGCAGCCCGCCTCATGTTCATAACCACTGAAGGAGGAGGAGGGCCCACGACAGCCTCCACGCCAGATCAATCACTGTCTCGGCTACTCTAAAGAACGGGGATGGTGGGAGGATGCAGCGCTGGAGGATGATGATAGGAGGAAGGATAGAGAAGAGCTGCTGGATAGCAGGTAAAGATAGGAGATGTAGTTTGTAGAAGAGGCAGGCGATTTACAAACCCAGGGGGAAAAAAAAGTCTAATTCTGGTGCATGTAGGGGAGAGAAATAAATATTGACAAACCTTCCCTTTCTGACTTTAGCTCTGTCTCTATGTTTCATTTTGTTGTACAGCAGAGAAAGCAGTTGTGTCTGCAGGAGTGTAGAGTTTTCATTAGACCCTTGTTGAACACTCATGACTGAAAGCCTGAGGTACTAATCTGTCATCCCTACAGGTAAGGAGGATGATTCCTAATATTTTGGCGACCTATTGACCTTTTCTCTAGGCTCACCATCGGGGCGGGTTTTCCACTTTTACGCGAGAAACATTTAACTTTATCGAGCAGATTTCCATAAAGTTTGCTGAGCACATTCATGCTACCTTGAGGAAAAAAAACAAGTTTTGGATTTTAATTCCGACATCTCTGGAGAAATATTTTTAGCCCCACTACAATTACAATTTTCACCATTTCATGTGGATTTGTTGCTACAAATGTGGTATTCTGGAGTGCTTAGAACTAACTGGAACTAGACTGGTATCTGCAGAGGTGCCAGTTTTTAGCTGGCTCCCAGGGTGCTGCTACATGGCATCGCATCACTCCACCATCTCTCTATATTCACACAGTGAAAAGGGGGATTCATAAAGTAAATCTTCTCCTTCACACAAAATGTCAACAGATTTTCTTTTGACATGTTTGTTTCTGTGGGTGGCGCTCTTTACCTTTCAGCTATGGTAAATGCCATTGCTCCTTCTAACTACAGGGTTCTTCCCCTGTATTTTACAAGTAAACTGAAAAGGTTAATTGCATCTCTTCTTCTGTACCACTGGACTTTTGGCACAGACCTGCAGGTGCACCGTGTCTATAAGACCTGCTGATGTGTTGTATCAGTTGGATTAAAAAACAAAAGAAAAAAACCTTTATGTGAAAGTTCTGCTAACTATTCCTCCAAATCAGAATGTGCAGATGATTTACAGATCGGTTAGCAATAAAATCATGATTTGTGAAATGCAACTAGTGCTAAGCTAGTTTCCTCCTGTGTTGTGTTTCCCTCACTCTCCTCTTCCTCCTCTCTGCTTTTATCAATGAAGAGGCTATTGACAGGGGTCGATTGCTTCTGGAATCCCTCTAGGACTCCAGGTACTTAAGTGGCTCTGATTGACAGGCATGCCTCCTATTCACTTCTGTTCTCTCTATACCTCGCTCCCTCTTTTTTATTTATCGTGCATCTCAGGTCTGGCTCTGTCAGTGGACTAGCATAAGCTCAGGTCTTCTTCCTCCGGGCCACTTCAGACCAAACAGTTCTCCGGTCACATTAAAGACATAAAGTAACACGGCGTTATTGTTGTTTGGAGAGGTAGAAAATGAAAATGGCCTAAGTGGTCTGGAGACAGAATAAGTGAAAGAGACACTGGGGGGGGGG